TATGCGTGTCAGATCCTTTTATAGCTGACTATTCATTATGGGTTTTGCCCATTGTTGAAGGTCCCATGGTTACCTATAGTTTCTTACATTTACCCTTTTTGGTCTCTGTTTGATATTTGTCTCATAGCTACGCAATCATACCACAACTCCTTATTCCTTTGCAACAAAGTTTTCACACCAATTTGTATATTGATAAGAATTGACTGAATGATGACGTCTTGAGCTTAATGAACTTTTTTAGCATGTTTGCTGGATTCTGATGCAATGAAATCCAACCTTATTATTATGCCCCTGCTGTAGCGGAGGGGGCATTAAGTTTTACCCTTGTCTGTCCATACGTCCCATAGTTGGTTTCCGTTCTCTAACTTAAGTTTGCCTCAACCAAATTTAATGAAACTTCTACACAATGCTTATCACCACAAAACACAGATCAAGTTTAATTTTGGTGGCATCAATTTAACCGTTCTAGAGTTATGCCCCTTTACAAATGGAAAAATTGCTGAATTTTTTGTTTCCGTTCTCTAACTTAAGTTAGCCTCAACCAAATGTTATGGAACTTATACACAATGCTTATTACCACAAAATACAGATCAAGTTTGAATTTTGGTTATGTCACTTTTACTGTTCTAGAGTTATGCCCCTTTACAAATGGAAAAATTACTGAATTTTTGGTTTCAGTTTTCTAACTTAAGTTTGCCTCAACCAAATGTTATGAAACTTATACACAATACTTATTACCATAAAACTCAGATCAAGTACAAATTTGGGTAGCGTCAATTTTACTGTTCTTCAGTTATTTCCCCTTTATAACTTTATATGATATGCCAGCGGGGGCATCATGTGTCCCATGGACACATTTCCCATTTATTTATAATTGTAAAATAGAACGATTAACATGACCTGTTAAGAAACAAGTAAAGGTGTATAAATAATTTAACCTCATTCAGAAACAATAATATTTTCAACAGTTTGGTGACATATATTAATATTAATTGATGATACGTGTATATACATGTATCAAATACATAGAAACCAAATTATCACTATAATTGTGTGAAAACTTTGTATTTATGACTAAAGGTTCAAACTGACAGCTGGACTAAATGTCCAACTGACAGCTGCTTTTTCAGATATTTACACAGTTATAGTGATAAAATTAGTTTCTATATATATAGTATGTTTTCTCAAACTGAAATTAATGGCTTAAAAATATTCTCTGAATTTTCTAGGTTAGTTTTGACTTAACTTTAATGAGATTGTCCTTGGATGGTAGATTGCTGTAATCACTACATTATATGAAAAAAAAAAAAAAAATTTTGGGTTGGGATTATGAAACAAGAGGCTCTCAAGAGCCAGAATCGCTCACCTGTAATTTTTTGCTTAAATCTTTCATCAATGATTATATTTGATTATCAATATATATTAATGAGTGGCTTAAAAATGCCATTTAAATGTTCTGTGTATCTGTCATATTTTCTTCAAAAGCAAAAAAATGCATTTTACCCCTATGTTCCATTTTAGCCATAGTGGCTATGTTTCTTGACGTATAAGGAAATAAAATAAAAAATTTAAACAAGATACTCTGAAACTCATTCAGCCCAAGTTTGGCTGAAATTGATTCAGCAGTTTCAAAGGAGAAGATTTTTTAAAGTAAGCACACTAGATTAGATGAACAAATTGTGAAAAATAGTCTTTAAAGGACAATAACTCCTTAAGGGGTCAATTGACAATTTTGGTCATATAAAACTTATTTGTAGATCTTACTTTGCTGATCATTTTTGCTGTTTACAGTTTATCTTTATCTATAATATTCTAGATAATAACTGAAAACTGCAAAATTTCCTTAAAATCATCAATTCAGGGGCAATAACCTAAAAATCAGATACCTGATTTGGCTGATAGTTTCAGGGCAGGTAGACCTTGACCCTTTGAATACTTTAACTTCTTGTCTGATTTGCTCTAAATGCTTTGAGATATATGTCAAAAACTGCATTTTACCCTATGCTCTATTTTTAGCCATGGCGGCCATGTTTTCTGAGGAAACAGAAAATAAAACACAATCTTTATTCTAGATAACCTAAGAATCATTCAGCTTAAGTTTGCTTTAATTTGGTTTAGTAGTTTTGGAGGAGAAGATTTTTTAAAGTTAAAAAACATGATAAACAAATTGTGTAAAATTGTCCTTAAAGGGCAATAGCTCCTTAAGGGGTCAATTGCCTATTTTGGTCATATGAACTTATTTGTAGATCTTACTTTGCTGAACATTTTTGCTGTTTACAGTTTATCTTTATCTATAATAATATTCAAGATAATAACCAAAAACTGCAAAATTTCCTTAAAATTACAAATTTAGTGGCAGCAACCCAACAATGGGTTGTTAGATTCCTCTGAAAATTTCACGGCTGATAGAACTTGACCTAATGAACATTTTCACACATGTCAGATTTGCTCTAAATGCTTTAGTTTTTGAGATATAAGCCAAAAACTGCATTTTACCCATATGTTCTATTTTTAGCCATGGCGGCCATGTTTTTTGACGAAACAGAAATAAAACACAAACTTAATTTTAGATACCCTAAGGATCATTCAGCTTAAGTTTGGTTGGAATTGGTTCAGTAGTTTCAGAGGAGAAGATGATTGAAATAGTTTACACTGGACGGACAACGACGACGGACGCCAAGTGATGGCAAAAGTTCACAGTTCCTTTGGAACGGTGAGCTAAAAAGTAAAACAACAAAAATACAGAAAATTATTTTTTATACAGTATAAGCTTTTGTAGGAAATTGATGCACAACTAATCTGATGACTCAAGGTGATTTTTTAGAAACTTTTGTATTTGTTTAAGATACTAAGTTGGCTGTGATCGCACAAGTAAAAAAAAAGCCAAAAAAATGACCTACGTGTATATAGGACACTACCTTCTTGAATTATAAACCACATAATTAAAATCAATTATCAAGACAATTAAACCATGACGTTTTAAACCCACACTAAGATTTAGTTCCTATGCAGTATAAATTTCTCAATCTGAAATTAATCCCCATAAAAAATATTATAATCCTCATGAAATTAATTTGAGACAAAAAGCATACAGAATCTGCAGGATTGTTTAACTAACCTTGAAGTTTATTTTCATGTAAAAGCAGTAATAAAACACCATTGAAAATTAATTATTTTTTTGAAGATGAAAGAATGATAACAACAGAACTCTTTCTAATGCAAAATGTTTGATATAAGAATAAGAATATTTATTGAATCCAATTAAAGGGCCTGTTTCTGAGCATATACATATATATATATATATATATATATATATAGTACTAATTATACAGTAATTTTTATGTATCATCTAGGGGCATTATGTTTTTTGGTCTGCACATCTGTTTGTACGTCCGTCTGTTCGTCCGTCTGTCCAGCTTCAGGTTAAAGATTTTGGTCAAGGTAGTTTTTGATGAAGTTGAAGTCCAATCAACTTGAAACTTAGTACACATCCCTAAGATATGATCTTTCTAATTTTAATGCCAAATTAGAGTTTTGACCCCAATTTCACGGTCCACTGAACATAGATAATGATTGTGCGAGTTGGGCATACGTGTACTATGGACACATTCTTGTTAAGATGTAATATTTATTGATTCCAATTAAAGGGCCCGTTTCCAAGCACATACATATATAAGTAGTATTAAATATACAGCGATTTTTAAGATATATTACATTAAAAATAAATGATTAGATAACTATACACCATACCAGATGGTGTTTGAAAATAAATAAAATAGAATATTAACTCTCTCTAGTACATAAAAATATTTACCAAATCACTACTACATGTATATTTACTTTCTGGAATGCAAATTTTTCTCTTATTTCAAAACAAGTACTAATAAATCTTGACACTGACATATTAACATTTTCAGACTGACAGGACATCAACCAAATAAACTGTTCGTTCTTTGAAATATAAGGGAAGATTTTACATTGAATGCATGCTTCATTAAGAATAAAATTCCTTTCCTCTTCGTATGCAATGCATTCCATTAAAAAATGAATATATATGTATATGTGACTTTTAGATGATGAACTGCAATACAGTGCTGTTTCTGTGTTGTTGGGTTATGTCCTTTCATTTTTCCATTGCTGAAAATTCATATATATTTATTTTGAAATAGTTTCTTGCGATATTTCCTTAATTTATCAAAAAGTAATGAACGTAAATGACGGTTGTTTGTTAAAAGATTAATTCAAATAAATAAAATTTGTCAATAGCCTCATGTACAAATGAATTTTCATTGTGAATGCATTTTATTTCCGTTGAATAAACAGGCCTTTCATTAACACGAAGACACAATAGTTAAATCATTTGTATCGCAGTGAAAGCATGGATTTTAATAAGGACATTGTTAAAGGATAAACTTTAATCATTCGGGGATGTCGCTATAATTATGAAATGTAGGCTGGCAATTTAAAATAATCAAATTTCAACAGCGGTAGGGGGTAACATTATTATTACGCTGTTACCCCCTGTGATTTACAATTTTAATATATACATTCAATTGTAGTTGCTAATTATCACGGCTTTTAGTGTGCATTCGTCTGTAGCTATTAAAAGATTGCAATTAAATGACCTATCCGAATATCATGAAATATACGAATCATATTAATCGATATCAGGTATTTTGCACGATTTTATGTCAAATGACACACACTTGAATGAGTGCCCTCTGACTTAATAAAGTAATTTAATTAATTGTTAATACATCTTTTAATAAAGGTCTGATTTGTTGAAACATCGTAACAATATCTTCGCCAAACTACAGGGGATATGTTTATACTTACCACAAACACTGCTTCAGGGTAAAGGTGTTATTCTTTAATGCAAAAATAGATGCTGGGAAGAGCAAGGAACTTTATTGAATGATATACATGTTTTTTGTTACGAAAACTTGATGCTGTGAAAAGTGAGGAAACTTTAATATCATGTGACTTATTTTTCGTTACAGGATTTATTAGCACCTTCTGTGTAGTATAAAAGATGGCATACTGTGAAACAATAGTCCGTCTGCTGTTGTGCTTGGGAAGATGAAATCAGAGGTAAAGTTAACTAATTAAGGGATTTTTTTTCCCTTTTTTTTTTTGACTTATTATTATTATTGAGACTAATAGGACAGATCCTTCTCATAATTTTTTTTCTGACTTATATCTGTTTTATGATCTGATATTTTAGGAAAACTTGCTTTATTAATTGTTGATGTTTTTCTATTGGATGTTATTTCCTTTTATATATTTTTGGTTGTTTTGTTTTTTTAAAAAAAGTGTAGCAATAAAATGGTTCATTTTTTATTGTTAAAAATGAAATATATAAACTGAAAACAAGTTGCAAAACTTTTTAAAATATTTTCTGCTTCGTAAAATTAATTAATAAACTTCTATTGAATTTTGTTAATAACTTTTTGATTAATTGAAAAGTTTTAAGCATAATTTGTCATTTAAACATCAGAATTTTTACCTTTTCTCTTAAAGTCCTCAATTGCTATTTCATATATTATAAAAAAAAAATAACACTTAAAGTTATAGTGCAAAGATAAATGAAATTTTTTTTTTTAAAATCACAATTTAAATTGTGCATTTAATATTGCCCATACTGTAATAACAGATATTTTTTATGATGTTTTTATTATTGCAAATATTGTGGCAAGAATATAGGTTTCACAAAATAAGAACTGGTATTTAATTTTTGATAGCATTATTTGTATATAGCTATTCCTGAAATTGTAATGATTAATCTCCGATTTTTTGTTCATTGTATTACAATCACAATAATAAATGTATGTACAAATTTATAAATTTAGTATTCAACAATACTTTCTCTGCTTTAGGGGTATAACACCACCAACAAAGACATTTCCTGCTTATGAAGGATGTATCAAGCATGCAAACTGTCGTTAAATGATGGGGACATTTAATCCAGTTTTTATGATAAATTAAGAAAGTTCCACACTCTGTTTATGTTAAAGAACCATAATTATAATAAGGTGAAAAAACACAATTTTTGCTCTGGAAGAGCACATATTTTAAGAAAAAAGTTACTTAAGAATTTATGAAAACAGAAACGTAATAAGTTAGGGTTGATATATAAACCTTGTAAATGTATTGAAAATTTTTAAAAATTGCATTATATAGAAATTGAAAGTATTTTTTAAAACTTTGAATAAAGGTTTTAATTAAATGTAAATATTTGATGATGCAGTTTGACAGTTATATCAATAAAGCGACATCATAAGAAAGCATTATCAGGTTAAGAAAATATTTGGCTAATTTAAGGAACATTTCATATTATCATAGAGCACATGGATCACAATTTATTTTCCTGCTTGAAAATCTTTTCGTACAATATCTGTATTATATACTATACACAAGTATTTAAAAGGGTACAATTTATGGGTTTGTCTCTCAAATTATTTTTTTTGCAGATTTATTTTCTTGCTTTCAAGTTATTTTCTCTAAAGGTGAAAATGATATTATATTTTAAATTTTTATGGATTATATCTATTGGAATATATCCACAAAAGAACAAAATCACACCCCCGAATTGGAATTCTGCTTTCACGTATAGTTTTTCAGCTATTTTGAATCAGATAGACAAAAGTTTGTAATTTTTCTGTTATTTTCAAAGCTATCTCAAAAAAAGAAATGTTTAAACTTACATACATTGTTTATGATTCAAGATTGAATTTTGCAAATTAAATGACAGAATATAGATAATAAGGCTGTTAGCTTGTAAACTCACAAAAATTTGATAGTGATGAAAATCCTAAAATGTGTTATTTCTCTGGAGAAATATTAAGAATTGAATTATTATTATTACATGATAAAATATTTAAAATCAAAATAAGGACAGAATTAGTTAAGTACACATGTACTTAAATTCAAAAATGTATTAATCGTCATTTAAATATTAATGTCAGGAAATTTTGTGTTATTAAATGTACTATAAAGTTCTTTCAGTTGATTAATGTTAATGCAAATTTTAAGTTGTAAGATTAACATTTACTTTTTTGTTGTTTTGTCAAATATTGTGGTGAACATATGTATTTGTAAAGTAGAACTGTTATGATGAATGCAATGTTTAAACTTGTCAAAATTGTATTCTTGTTGAGATAATTTTTTTATTAAGAAACATAATATATTTTTTATAAATCCGAATTTATTAAAATTCTGGTTTTTTCTATGCTATTGCAATTTTTACTCTGAACATACATCCATATCAATTCATGCTTTTTATACCCCCTATATACTGTTTTACCTCTGTCTGTCCTTCCGTCAGTCCATCCGTCAGTCCATCCGTCAGTACGTCAGTCCATCCGTCAGTACGTCAGTCCATCCGTCCGTATTATGAATATTTTCGTCGCATTTTTCTCGGGAACCACTTGACAAGGATTTCTGAAATTTGGTTTCAGGGTTTATATAAGTAAGTTACACTGTGTGATGTGTTTTCAGATTCATCACTCAACAACTTCCTGTTTACCGAAAACACTTGTATTATTTTACACATGATAGCCAAGTTAAAAATTTTCGTCACATTTTTCTCAGGAACTACTTGACAAGGATTTCTGTAATTTGGTTTCAGGGTTTATATAAGTCAGCTGTGATGCGTTTTCAGATTCATCACTCAACACATTCCTGTTTACCGAAATATTTTGGCGGGGGTATCATCAGTGAGCAGTAGCTCACAGTTTTACTTGTCTCATACTGTTATGACATTGTTACACTAAATCCATTGGATGTGTACTGATTGATACTTTAATCCTGGAAAACATTATTTATTAAGTCTCCCAAACGAAGTTTGGGAAGACTTATTGTTTTTGCTCAGTTCTTATTATTATTATTCTTCTTCTTCTTCTTCTTCTTCTTTTTCTTCTTCTTCTTCTTCTTCTTCTTCCGCCGCTTTTAAATTTGAACTTGTCCGCACCTGTTCTCCAAAACCGCTTGTCAGATTAACTTAGGGTTTCATGATATGTTAGACTAACATGTCTAGTGGTGCAATCAGGGTTTTGTTTGTGCAATGGGGTTTATAAAGGGGTACTTTGAGGGGCAAAAAGAAAAGAGGGTTTTACTATAGAACCCTATGGGATTTTATTTTTTTAAATTTTCAAATGATTATAAATTGAAAACCGTTTGTGATAGACACAATCTTTTTAATTGAAAATGTTCTAAATGATAAAGCCCATTAAATGAAATACAGGGTTAGTCCCCAGGGGTCACCCCCACCCCCTGCCATTTAAGAAAGTTCTAATACCTTTGTAAGTGGTAAAGATCCCCACCCCTAAACCATATATATTCTGGTTTGTCATGCTAAGATGGTTTGAATGATATACAGGGTTAGTCCCCAGGGGTCATTCCGACCCCCTGCCATTTGAGAAAGTTCTAATATCTTGTAAATGGTCGAGATCCCCACCCCTAAACCATATATATTCTGGTTTGTCATGATAAAGCACATCAAATGAAATACAGGGTTAGTCCCCAGGGGTCACCCCCACCCCCTGCCATTTAAGAAAGTTCTAATATCTTCTAAGTGGTCAAGATCCCCACCCTAAACCATATATATTCTGGTTTGTCATGCGAAGATGGTTTGAATGATATACAGGGTTAGTCCCCAGGGGTCATCCCGACCCCCTGCCATTTGAGAAAGTTCTAATATCTTGTAAATGGTTGAGATCCCCACCCCTAAACCATATATATTCCTATTTGTCATGTCTCGAACATTTGAATGACGTATACGGTCAGTCCCCAGGGGTTCCCCCCACCCCCAATGTTCTAATATCTTGTAAATGGTTGAGATCCCCACCCTTAAACCATATATATTCCTGTTCATCATGTAATGAACATTTGAATGACGTATAGGGCCAGTCCCCAGGGGTTCCTCCCCACCCCCAATGTTCTAGTATCTTGTAAATGGTCGAGATCCTCACCCCTAAACCATATATATTCTGGTTTGTTATGCCAAGATGATTTGAATGATATACAAGGTTAGTCCCCAGGCATCACTAATGCATATAACTTTACTGAACCAAACCAATTTTCACTGGACGTTGCCCAATGTCAGGCGACCCTGGGAATTACGAATTATGGGAGCTTCGTTTGGGAGACTTCGTAACAGCATCCTGTTACAATCATTTCTTGTTTATTATATGTTATTGTTCTTTAGTTACTTACATCTGCATCATTTGGTACCTTATGGACAGTTGTATCATTGGAAACCATACAACATCTCCTTATTTTTATATTGCTTAAATTTGAAAAAAAAATCTATGTCACCTTTTTAGTCATAAAATATCTGTTACATGGAAATGACTGCTTATTACTGTTGACAGCTGCTAGTATAACTTATAATCTTTCGCCCCTCTTTTAAAATCAGTAAACATTGTTTCAGTTAAAAAAATTTTACTAAATCTCATAATTTCTTGAAAATCAAAGGATTTAACGTAACTTTTGTTATTGACAATTTCATTGGCACTGTTATTTGGCAGTTATTTTCCATCACAAGTGTAAATATTTGTTTTTCGTTCAGTGAGTATTTTTATTAAAGTCTGTTAAGATTCATTCAACTTGTTTGTTAAATTGATTTGTAAACTTTCACTTATATATTATACATTTTTGTTGAGCCTACGACTTCTGTCGCAAAAGCGAGACATAGGGATCCTACATTCCGTCGGCGGCGGCGATGTCCACAAATATTCACTCTATGGTTAAAGTTTTTCAAATTTTAATAACTTTCTTAAACTATCCTGCATTTCAACCAAACTTGAACAGAAGCTTGTTTATTATCATAAGATAGTATCCAGAAGTAAATTTTGTTGAAAAAAAAAAATCCTGTTTATCCATATTTTACTCATAAATGGACTTAGTTTTTCTGCAAGTTAACATTAAATTCACTCTGTGGTTAAAGTTTTTCAAATTTTAATAACTTTCTTAAACTATCCTAGATTTGTACCAAACTTGGATAGAAGCTTGTTTATGATCAAAAGCTAGTATCTAGAAGGAAATTTTGTAAAAATGTATTTCCTGTTTTTCCGTATATATTACTTATAAATGGACTTAGTTTTATGCCAGTTAACATTACGTACAGTCTGCAGTTAAAGTTTTTAAAACATTTATTAGATTCATAAACCTTCTTGGATTTTTACCAAACTTGAACAGAACTTCTTACAATCAAAAGATAGTATCTAGAGGAAAATTTTTAATAATTTTTTCCCCATTTTTGTTGAGCCTGCGACTAACAGCAAAAGTAGGCGAGACACTGAGTTCCACGGAACTCTTACAAATTTTTTTATCTTGGTGGTCACAATGGCCACCAAGACTACCAATCTGATCCTGCCTCATTTATGTGCACACTTGCCTCCTTTTTTCAGATTGACACAATAGAACGGTGCTGAAATAAAAGTAGCGGAAGGGTTTCTCAGACAGACAGGCAGAACAATAATAATATGCTCTATATAAGCCTCCTTTCTGCAGAACACCACCATGAGATATTTATTTATTTACAACTTTATTTGACTGCGGGTGATTTAGTCATTGACTTAATTGTGTAGAAACATGTTTATTAATAAAGACCAATTATGTTGAACTTGGGGATTATTTGATTTCTGGAAGCTTTCAAATATATAAGCAATGAAAATTATAACTTTTGATTTTTTTTTCCAGGTCATATTGAGTACCTTAGCAAGGAAGAAGCTGTATGTTAAACACCATTTTACTAATCAGTTTCAACAGGAAGTGACATCATCAATGATGATTGACTCTGGGTCACCTGATCACATACAACTTAGCCATCAAGGTATGAATGAATCTGTATACAGTAAGGTCAAAAATCATTGCATGATTTTCTTAATGTGGTTGTTGGACAATTGATACAAATACAAGTTTGATTATTGCAAATTTTGGAAATGCTTCGTACAAATCAAAATTTTAATTTGTGACGTTTTTTTTTTAGCTGCACCTATATCGTTGCAATTTTCACATTAATAAAAACATCACAAAAATTTCTACAAACAAAATGAGTATCATTTAGAGACATAACATACAGTAGCATGGGCAGATAAAAATGTATCAAATTGTTATTTTTTTCCCGCCAATATTCAACTTCATGTCAGCAAACTTTCCTTATCAACAGCCTTCAATTCAATGCCACTCTTTTTCTTCTTTGTATAAGTTTCCTATGGACAGGAACACCGCTAATAATATAAAAGTATTAGGGTAATTTTGTAGAGAAAAGCAATCGTTTTTTTTTTTAAATTTCTGGTTCATTTTTGTTGTTGTTGTATTGTGTACAGTAAAATTAAAAATTTTCCTTAATTTCAAAATAAAGAAACAATAGGGAAAATATCCCCTTTGAGGGAGACAACATTCAACAAGCTGTTGACAATAATCAGGAGGTGATAAACAATAGAATGAAAGTGTTAACAGATTACAATTCAAGGAAAACAAATAAATATATAAAGCCAAGGATAAGACACATGCCTAGATAACCTTAAAGAAATTTCTTCCTTGGAGAGATTTTGGTAGACTTTTTCAGATTATTTTAACATATGTTGTTATTTGTTCAGCCATTTTGTCTGGTATTTTTGACCCTATTATTTATTATTATTATTATTTTATTATTATTATTATTATTATAAATGATTGTGAAAAGTGCTGAGCTGTTTACTTGTACCGATTGTCGGTATTTTACACAGGGTTTCTAGTTAAGGTTAGCAGATGTAAATCTACAGTTTCCATTCTATATGGAAAATAAACGTGTTTTTTTATAAAATTGGTTTTGAATTAGACGCTCAGGTTATAAATGACTTGTCTTCTGTGTAGGTTAGAAGGATAAAAGAGAAAATGAAGAAGGAACGTGGCCGAAAGGTTCCAAATAGTGGTTTGATTACTACAATAATTTATAATGTGTTCCCTATTGAAATTTCTACACAAGATGGTATTTTTTGGGTTAATGTTCTTTCATGTTTATGCAATAAATTTCTGTATAGGTCTGGTCTGGGCAATGTACAAGATATTGTCAACCAACTTATTTTTGCATATGTTTTATTATGCGCTCAGCCCTTTCAACATTTTTTAGACAGCTTTAAGCCACATTTTTCCATATTTTCACCCCTGACATATTCATGTTTTCCTACATTCACTATAGAGCTTTTTCATTGTTGAAGGTCGTACAGTGACCTATAGTTCTATGTCATTTGGTCTTTGGTGGAGAGTTGTCTCATTAGTAATCATACCACATCTTATTATTTTTAAATTGTTTAATGTTTTTGTAATTTAATTTTTTTTCTTTATATTTTTAGGAAATTCTTCACTATTAATACATAATCAAAGAGATTTCTCACAAGAAGTTAATGAGGAAAAATCGCCTTTGATCTCCAGCAGTCGTACTCCCAGTCACTCGCCAGATCGTGTTCAGATGGTACCAATAGAAGCTGAGCCCATGTCACTGGAAGTTTTGAAGGGTTCCATAACAGAAATGCGTCCATCGTTCCAAAGTGTGATCACTTGTGGACAAGGACTATGTGGAAACTCTCCACCTTTACAGAATGGGACTTGTGGAGAAATGTTTCCACGCACAAGTTTTATGGGTAGTGTAGGACTTAACTTGTGTACACCATCCAGCATGGATTCCCCAATTATCTCCCCTGTTTCAGTTCCTGTGATGAATGATATTACACAAGAGCATAATATGCAGGTAATGATTATACTCGAAATATGATTATAATGACTTTTATTACTATTTTGTTAAATTTTGGTTTGATATTTCTATGTAATAATCTTCCATCTCAAACTACTCCACCTCGAATGATTTTTCTCAGTCAAGAAGAGTGAGAACATGGATGTTATAAGCTAATGTCATTGACCATGCCATGGAAAATAGTGATTAATTGATAATAAATGGTCTTTTACCTCCAGGAAGTTTCTAAGCTATATTTCAGTTCAATGTTATCCCCCTTCAAAAAGATTGAAAATGAGATACTCTCTCTCATTTACATAACCATGGATAATTTGTAAAACAAGTAAAAAAAAAAATGCAAATTAAGACATTCAGCAGTTCAAACAATGAAACTTGCCCATAGTTGTTATGCCACATCATCACCAAAGGGGGCATTAAGTATTAACCTTGTCTGCCATCCATACGTCCGTATGTACATCCCAAAATTGGTTTCTGTTCTATAACTTTAGTTTGCCTCTACCAAATGTTATGAAACTTATACACAATGCTTATTACCACAAAACACAGATCAAGTTAGAATTTGGGTGGCATCACTTTTACTGTTCTCGAGTTATGCCCCTTTATAACGTTATATGCAAGCAGGGACATCATGGACACATTATTCAATTATTTATATTCTGAAACAGTGAATTAACAATTACTGAAGTTGAATTTCTGAATTGATGTATGATTCCATTTTATGGACTTTTAATTATTTTTTTCTATTTCAGTGTTCTCCGTCCCCTCCAAGTCAGAATTCAGAATCTGGCTCATTTGCAAGTCCCAAAGAATTGTCGCCACAGATAATGTTTGACTGTCACTGGCTGAAATGTGATCAAAGCTTCTCTAATATGGACGACTTGGTGACCCATGTTAATGACAATCATGTCAAGGTTGAGCGACCAGATGTTGATTACCAGTGTAAATGGGATGGCTGTCCTCGTAAAGGCAAAGGGTTCAATGCCAGGTATTTCTAAAATGTTTTAAACCAGTCTAATGAGAATCTCTGCTCCTTTATCTACCCTTAGTTATCAAAAGGGAGATAATAGTTAATTTTTACTTTAACCAGTAATTGGTTGGTTGTCTCCCCTTGATTTCACATTATGTTTAGGTTTTCAAAAGGGAGTTAATCGATGGCAGTAATTGGTTAGTTGTCTCACCTTGATTTCTTTTATGGTTATATTTGATTTGTTGATTGACAGCTGCTTAAAATTAACTTGGAATTATTATACCCCATTATGTTTTTGACCCGTCTGTCCGTCAGTCCTGTTCTTGTCATTGCAACTCCTCTGAAACCGACAACAGAATTTCATGAAACTTAGGTAGATAATAAGGACATACTATGTAGATGTGCATATCGACAGGAAATTATGATTCAAATTTTTTTCTAGGAGTTATGCCCCTTTAACTTAGAATTTTGGCCAAAATATACTACTGCAACAGTTTGTCATCACAACTCCTCTGAAACCGACAACAGAATTTCATGAAACTTAGTAGATAATAAGGACATACTATGTAGATGTGCATATCGACAGGAAATTATGATTCAAATTTTTTTCTAGGAGTTATGCCCCTTTAACTTAGAATTTTGGCCAAAATATACTACTGCAACAGTTTGTCATCACAACTCCTCTGAAACCACACAACAGAATTTCATGCAACTTTGTAGATAATAAGGACATACTATGTAGATGTGCATATAGACAGGAAATTACGATTCATTTTTTTTTCTAGGAGTTATGCTCCTTTAACTTAGAATTTTGGTCAAAATATACTACTGCAACAGTTTGTCATCGCAACTCGTCTGAAGCCACACAACAGAATTTCATGAAACTTTGTATATAATAAGGACATACTATGTAGAAGTGCATATCGACAGGAAATTACTATTGAATTTTTTTCTAGGAGTTATGCCCCTTTGAACTTAGAATTTTGGCCTAAGTATACTACTGCAACAGTTTGTAATCGCAACTCCTCTGAAACCACACAACAGAATTTCATGAAATTTTGTATTTAATGAGGACATAATATGTTAATGTGCATATCCACAAAACTTTTTTTATCAGTTGACTTTTGTAGAGTTATGAGTCTTTCAACTTAGGAATCTGGTGAGATTTTGTTTGTCCAGTGACAATTTAGGGGTGTGGGGTATGTGAGCGTGCTCACAAAGGTTCTTTAATTGCATGAAAATTCAAGATGATAACATGTTAATGTGAGACTATGATACCATTCTTTACATTACAAGTTGGATTCTTAGAAAATGCACAAAACTATACCATATAACAACTTTTAGGCTATTTATCCCTTAACTTAACTTCTCATCTGAGAAAAGTGTCTTCATTGAAAACATAATATATTGTGTATTCTTCCAGGTATAAAATGCTGATCCACATCAGAACCCATACAAACGAGAAACCACACAGCTGTAAACTGTGTGGTAAATGTTTCTCCCGACTGGAGAACTTAAAAATACACTACAGATCACATACAGGTATTTATTTTGTTAATGTTAGCATGAGTGCATAACTTAAATAGTCACAGCAGAACACCTACAGAAAATCTTTCTGCAAATGTTTTTCTCAGTTGAAAAACTCAGAAAATCACTTCAAAACACATACATTAAACAAAGCTATTTATCCACAATTAATGCACATAACAGCTATTTCCAAAAAAATTGGACATAAAAAAAGAAAGTACATGCCACACAAGCATACAAAACAGTTGGTTGCCGATAAAGGAGGGGCCTGATGGGGGGGGGGGGTCTCATCACAATTCACGAGTTGATTTTTTTGTCAATCACGATTCACAGAAAATAAATTTCCATGATCACGGATCACGAAAATATAAAAAGAGTAATAAATCTGTAGAAAAACGGATCACGATAGCGAAAATGCGCCGATCACGAAGAACGAAAATAACCCATCAGGCCCCTCATAAAGCCTTAACCTCTTTTTCACTACCCAGTATTCAGGTTACTTGTTTGTCTGAAAATTGGTATTAAGCTATAGTGTGATGCAGTGAAAACACATCACCTGGTATAGCATGCTCAAATGAAGCTTGATAGTAAATTTCAGGAAATTCTGATGCCAAGTTTCTGAGAAAAATGTGACAATAATTTCATACAAAGTCATTTATTGTAAAAATATATTTTAAGTAATGACTGTAATATTTTGTCTGTCTATGAAGAAATAACATTAAAAATGTTATTTCGAATAGACAGAAAAAATATTACAGTCATTTCTTATAATTTAATTCTAAAATCCATTTTAAACCGGAGTAAACCATGAAAAAACGTTGATGACGTCACGGTCACATGACAAAATTATGTCTATGAGCTGATAAACAAAACAACGTCAGCCAATCAGAAGACGCGTTACATCCAAAATTAAATTATATTGGTATTGAATAGGAAGTTAAAGAACAATAAATGTGAAAAGGCTTCATATGGTATAGCATGCTAAAATGAAGCTTGTTTCCAAATTTCAGGACGATCTTTTTTGTAGTTTGTGATAAAAATGGGACGAAAGTTGCCATTCCTTACTGTTAAAGCTGTAGCAGTAGTGTCATTGTTAACACCTTTGGTGCTATAAATTTATTATCAAGTGTTAAATATTGACATAAACTGGAACTTCCTGATTCTATAAATGAAGAAAAAACCAATTTACATCTTTTTGACCGTTCAGGAATTACATTGACATTTAACCATGATTTTTTTCCGAATTGAGAAAACATCATCATTAATGTTTAAATATTTTCACCTGCAGCTGAGGAGTGGATTATGACATCTTTAAACGGTTAAATTGGCTGGTAGTAAAAATTTCTATGAATCTGAACAGAAATAGATAAGTTTGATATTAAAAATATTGAAAATTAAATTTAAAAGGTCTTTAATAGACCATGTTTATTTCAGTTTAAAGGAATAGATTATAAAAATTCAAGAGACATGCTTTATTAGAGATTTTTAGAGAATTATAACAATGTTAATTTAAAAATATTGAGGATTTACATACACAGGGGGTTGTTTCATTGCTTTTTCTCAGGGAGTAGGAATGATGTGGGCCATTTTTTACCCCTGAGATTTCAAAATTTTCTTAGCTTTTCAAAGTTATTTTATTTTTACTAATGAAGGAATAAGATGGTAAAATCTGGAAACTTCAGTTCAGAAAAGTCAGTTGTGATGTCATTACAATGTCATAAACATGTTGAAATTGACATATATTTTATCATAAAAGGCCATTTTATACAAATTTTGGTAAAATTAGCCATGAACCAATGCCTTTCATATAAAAATCAATACAGAGAAAGATTCCAACACCTTATCTTGTGAAGTAAGACATTTCTCTGCTCCTGACATTAATTAAAATTTAGAATTTTTAATGAGCTTGGCAAGCCTCATGAGTCGCATTTAAATTTGAACCTTTTTCTGACTCAATGGGAGAAACATTGTATCACATGGATTCAAATGTAGAAGCTATATATTCAATTGACATTTGATTAAATGTCATATTTTTTATGCAACATATAACATTTTCCATTAATTGTGTGGGTTGTTTTTTGTTATATTAAGTCAGTGTAATATTCTCTTATTAACACTAAACATTAAGATATGACACATGACAACCACTTATGAGGTTCTTGACTTGGGAACAGGAAAACCAAGTATAAACAAAACATATTAAATATACAATATTTAGTCAACTTCAGAAAAAAGGAAACTGTTTGTATTAGAAACTGGAAAAGGGGGAAATTTGCAAACAATTACATCCCATAATTTGTAAACTGCTACTTAGTGAAAGTTCACCAAGACAAAATATGCCTTTGTTTAAATCTTATGTATTAGATAGCTGGTTTTTAATATAATGATGGTAATTATTTTTTCAGGTGAAAAGCCATATATTTGTCCTGTGGATGGCTGTCAAAAGGCATACTCTAACTCTAGTGACCGATTCAAACATGTGCGAACACATCAGGAAGAAAAGCCGTACATCTGCAAAATGCCAGGATGTAATAAACGTTATACTGATCCAAGTTCTCTGCGGAAGCATGTACGGACACATGGACATTATTATCGTGAGGAAAATGGGAAACAAAAATCTAAAGTTTCCAGTACAATGCCTCAGCAGCAGCCCATTTTTCCATCGGTGAAGTTACAGATCCCATCAGTGACTCATTCACCTACTTCGCCCATCAATCCTCTAATGAGCATGTCCCAGAACAAACTGATGCCACACAGCATGCCAACACACAGTCATCCTCTTCATAATATATTACATGCGTCTAACTTTACATCAAATCCGATGTTATCGTCAACAATTCTGACACCGTCGTCTGCTACGCATTCAACTTCTACTCAGACAGAAGGGGTAATTATTTCACTGTCTCCAAATTCACCGCTCAAAATGGACATTGGTGGTGAAAAACTTGGCAATGAAGAGGATGATAAGATCCAAGATGGGCCTTTGGATCTGTCGACTAGTCCTTCTGCAGAATCAGATATGTTAGTTGGACATAGAGAAAGCTCAACATTCTCGACAGGGAAGTGGGAGTTAATTAATTCCTAGCATGAAGACTCAAATTATTTTATTATAGATTTATTTGTCTTTTAAGTTTCGTTTATAAAGTTAAAAGGATAAAATTTTCAAATTGAGAATTGAAAGTGCTATAGATATTCTATTTTCTTATTTATATTTTGTTATTCTCAATATTTGAGAATGCATTTATTTGAAATTTGTTGTCTTTGTATCTTGACTAATAAAAACAATTATTAGAAGAAGTTAAGAATTTGAATAGAATTTATTTAGATTTCAAATTTTTTGGGGGAAAGTCTTCTTATTTAAACTATTTACTTATAAGGTAGATTTTTAATCACAAAATCGGTACATGTTTGCACATATTTTCATTCAGATTGTAAATTTATTTCTAAGTTTTGAATTTAGAATTATGTTCATTTGATTTTTAGCTCAATTTGCTTGGTAATGATATATTAGGTGCATTGAATTGTAATGTAATGAAAAAAAAATTCATGCATTGTATAATTAATGAGGAATACCTGAGTTAAGGGAGCTAGCCCTTATAAAATCAGTAATGATAGAAAGATTTGTCAATGCTTTTGAAGCATTTATGTGAAACAGAATTAAAATAATCTGTGTTACTTAGAAGCTTAAAATTTTATTTTGAAAAGGAATGACGTAAACGTACCATTGATTATTAAGAGTTGTGTCCCTTAACTTAGATTTACGTCCTTAAATCATAAATTTAGAACTGCTAAAAGATTATATTGCATAATATTGAAAATGAGTTTTAAAAAAGATTGAGAATAAATGGCAATTTGTCAGGACACTGTAATTTCACTCTTCCATTGCTGGTAAAGCCAACAAAGATTAGTTGTGTTTCCTGCCTCCCTTCCTCCCGTTAATTTTCATGCTTGCGCTTAATATTTTATGGACATTTTTGGTTAATCAACATTAAAGTAAACTAGTATATATATTTTTTTTTGCTCAATATAAAATTTCTGTCAAATTTTAACATGAGACAGTGAATTCCTTATGTTGATAATATGTGGATAAGCAATTCATGTATTATCTGGGAATGTGCATTTGGACATAAATTATAAACCCTGTTTGACCTATGTTAGATTTATTGGTTTATTTATATACTCATATTTGAAATAATTTTTATGTTGTCTCCTTAGATTTTGTTTGTAGCTCAGTGTTGATTATTCTAATTTTTATTGTTAGGGCAGAACAATCTTTACTGATACTTAAACAAAGAAAATCGTTTGAATACTAAAAAAAACAACTGATTTTGTCTTTGAAATTCAACTGCATGATTGTCAACTTCAATCTTTTGAAACCCAAAAGTCCAACCAAATCTTTTGAAAAGCTAACATATGCTAGGAACAATTTAACACACATTTTAGATCAATTGTGGCAATTATCACATGTGTCTTTTTATGAAGGAGTATATCCTTTTACTCTGCAAATATGCATTATTCTCCTTTTAACAAATGAGCTGCGTCTGATAGAAATCAACCTTATGCAAATGAAAATCAATGAATCTGTTAACCTATTTTGGGTTGGAAAAAATTTCTATGGAAAGTCTTAACGGTTTGAAAATTGAGCTGTTATAAGAAAATCTACAAAACAGACAGAAATTCATCTTTTACTTTGTATTTGAATGTTCCAAAATCAATCAAAGTCTTATACATAAACATGTATACGTGCACTTGCATAAGGTCTATTTCTATCTGACGCAGCTCACATATATAAGATCAATTGGCAATTATCACATTTGTCTTATTATGAAGGAGTGTAACCTTTTACTATGAAAAGATGTATCATTCTCCTTTGTGCTGAACCTATATAATCATCAATTTGGGTTGGGGCAAGGACTTTTATGTTTTTATTATTAACATCTCTGTATTTCTGCATCAGCTGTTAGCTTTGTCTCAGATGTGGCTTTCAGTCATACCTGTCAACTATTTGGAGCTTCATAGTTGGAGATCTCCGTCTTTCCAGAATCCTTAAATTTATTAGAAAAACAAAACACAAATGAGCTTATTTTGTGTCCGATGATTTTACTGCCTTGACACAAACCTCTGTGATATTTGTTATTGTTAGATATGGTACAGCTGTTTTGTTTGATTCTTTTTGTTTTAAAAAAGTAGTTACATGTTGTAATTTTCATGCATCCACAAACATTTGATTGCTATCAAACTTTTATGAATAATAGTATTTTTTTTATTATGCTGCCCTCTGTAGTAGAGAGGCATAATGCTTTCTGGTCTGTGTGTCCGTTCATCGGTCAGATAAAGTTTGAGTTTAAGATAGTTTACAATGAACTTGAAACTAAGTACCTATGCTTTTTATTAATGGATAATCTGCTTGCAAAATATTGAAATAGGACATTTAGCTTATAACATTAATGAAAACAATTATGCATAATGTAAATTGAACAAGATTCACAGTAAAAAAGCAGACATTGAATAGGGATTTTTGAAACTCAGTTCTGATGTTTAATGTATATTTTTCATAGATGATGTTCTTGAAAGAAAATTTTATGGGAAGTCAGCATTTTTAAAATGAGTAATTGTATATGAAACATATACAGCAGTTTTCAAGTGTAAAAAGATTTATGTAATAAGATACTTTAAAACAATTTAAATTTGATTTATGAGCTCAAGTACAATTGAGAATTTTTGTTTATGGAAAATGTTATAACTTTGAATTGCAATCTTTAAATCTTCATTATTTTTAGGGCCACATTGTGGTATTCATATTTGAATGCAAATATATCACTGTAAAAAACAAATTTAAATTCAGAAATTATTTTTATTTATGCAAAGAATAGGACAGTAGCAGGTTTGCAAAATTAAAAACTCACATTCATGATTTCAGTACTGATTAATCTTCATACAATTTCTGCAATCACATTTATTTGATAAATTTTTCTGAATTTATAGTATTTATTTTTAGAGCAAATGAAAACACAAAATTAACAGGATCATTTTTTAGGGATTTATTTTGTGAAAGCAAAACTTGATATAAAAAAAAATCAATGTAACAGGTAATGTAACAAGTAAGGAACTATCTTTTTGTCATTTGCATAAATTGTTCTATTCATAACTTTTACATTGTACAGATAACAAATTATTTAACTCCAGGGGTTGTTCCCCCTGTCAGGTAGTGCTAGATCACATTTATAAATGGTGCTCATTATGAAATGCATTTGAAGCTCACATGTTTATTTATTGGTGCCTCTTGTTTATAGATTTGTTCACAGCATGCATGACACATCATACAGAAATATTATTCAGTCTGCATATAGTTCATGGTATTACAATTTTTTATTTTCATTCTTCATTCAGTTTTATGATAGGGTATGAAAACCACTTTCTTCTTCCACATTTTAATACGCCCGTCAAAATTTTGACGGGACGTATTATGGTATACAAATGTTGTCTGTCTGTCCGGCGTAAACATGTTGCACCGTAACTTGAGAATGACTTATCCAAATTTCATGAAACTTAACATAATTGTGTCTAATGATGGTCAAACGATCTGTATATTTTTTGGTGAAAATAAGATTAAAACTTTTTGAGTTACGGGACTTAGTAACTAAAACAGGTGTGTGTTTTTTTTTTTGCACATGTCGCGCCATATCTCAAAAACAATTTATGATTATTGCTTAAAACTTGACAAACTTCTTAGTTATATTGATCTTCAGATCTGTATACTTTTTGGTGATGATTCAGAGTTTAATTTTTGAGTTATTGAGTATTTTGTAAAAGAAGGGGGAGGGGTTTTTCACATGTCGTGCTGTATCTTAAAAACGATTTATGATTAATTGCTTAAAATTTTACACACTTCTCAGTTATACTAATCAAAAGATATGTATACTTTTTGGTTTTGATTCAAAATTTTATTTTAGAGATATTGAGTTTTTTGTAAAAAAAAAGGGGGGTTTTCGCATGTCGCGCCGTATGTCAGATACTATTTATGATTATTCCATAAAAATTCGCACACAAGACGCTCATGGCGCAGCTGTTTATTACAATTCATGATGGGGATTTCATCATGATTGGGTCTTTAAAAGAATCAAATTTGTTGGAAGATATGATTGGGATTTTTAATAGACAGGACAGTAGCCGTTTTTTTGTGAGAAAGTGTTAGGACAAAAACTTCTATTTAAAAAAAAAACAAATCCAGACTGGTCAATTTTTTTTTAAATTATAAAAAAATCTTGAAAATCATTTAAACTGCATTTTCTTATTTATCACTTTGAAAATGAAAAGTTGATAAGAACAAATTGAATACTTAATTTGTTTCAATCAAGTCTTTAACACAAACATATATGATTTTCATTCAATTATCAAGTTCGAAGTGTTCATTCTCATATCCCTTATATAAATGCTATGCTAAATTACGGGATTTGTACAGATAAACTAGTCTACTGAAAGAAACGCATTTACATAAATTGTTTATGTTAGTTTGAATGAATCATGTTTGGTGTCATATTCTATTAACAAGTTCAAAGTTTGCTTTGTCACACATCATCAAAATAGGATTCTTTAAAAGGTGTCAATTCTAACAGAAATATTATATAAGTGATGTTCATTCACATATTTTTTTAAGAATTAGTCATTTTAGGTAGCTTATGCATTCCATTTTGGAGAAACAAACACAGTTTTGAAAATAATTGGTTAATTTTTACAGGAAAAAGAAGAACAAGAATATAATACTGAAGATAAATGTACCATCTCCTTTTAAACTTATACATAAGAAGTCTCAAGAAAGTTATGTAATTAGATGGTCATTTTAACAGTTGCACCTTGTTTATGTATTTAAAAAATATAACCAAAATATAAAAAGTTTCATATTGTGTTTCAAAGACTTTCAGAATTGTAGTTTTGAGTATTGCCATAATCTAAATAAATTGATTCCATAGATATAAAAACCGAGGACTCACATTTCGGTGCCTATATTTTCTTTGAATCAGATATATGAAATAATAGATCAAGTGTAAAAAAAATTTCTACTTAAAGATGATATGACATGAAGGGACGGAATTACTTTTGATTTTTACCTTTCTCTTTTTTTTTAAATTTTGGTCAATAATTCCTGTTAAAATTAATGCTATATAATTTATCAAATTTGTTTGAGTTTGTTTAATATATGTTAAGAATTTCTGAAGGATAAAAACACTAGGAAAACATGTAGTATCACCCTTTCAAATCAAATGCTAAGATGTAAAAATAAAAAAAAATATTCCCTCTTTGTAATTTAATGAAACAGTCTCTCCATCCTCTTAAATACAATCTTGACCAATCAGAATCTCTAAGATGACATCTGTACCAATCAGAATCTCCTTAACTACACCTGGACCAAGCAGATCCTCTAAAACAGTGTTGTTTCCGATAATGCATCACCAATTCTGACTGTCAAAAATATTGAAGGTTTTAAATATTTCAAACAAAAAATTCAAGCCTCGCATGATTAAATAATTGTCAAGGGAAATGAAAGACCGATAGTAAAATAATTATATGCTTGATTTTTATTGATTTGCTCAACATCACTGCAACTATCTGAAGACAAATGGTCTGTCATTTAAAAAAGTATGTATAATTGAACAGGATAGAGTAAAATGTTCTTTCTTAACTGTGAGCTCAATTTCATAAAATTCTTTTCAGATCTGTTACATATTGGTTGTGTAATACTTTTGTAAGATTTATTTATTAATAAAAATGCTCAGCATATATATTTTTGCTTATATTTAATTGTGTCTAAAGTAATTGTTGTTTTGATAATACAAATGTCAGTTTACCTCCACAAAAATTTAGGACACCTTGTTCCACCTCTATGTGCACTTAATATCTTTAATTCTAGGTATGAAGGTGAACATAAAATTCTCTACAATTTGCTTTGAAAATAGATTTTATAATTCATTGATTTTTCTGCTGAATTAACCCCAAACAGCAAAGGGCTGTGTTTACTATAGTCATCACTCGGCTTCCTTTTTTGGTAAATTGCCTTTCACATTTTCACTTTCTTGTCTAAAGTAATGTAAATCTAATTTTATCTCAATTTTTTAGGAATAATGTGGAAGTTATTTGAAATGGATGCTCATGTCGTTTTTATCAGATGAAAAACATTGCTGCCAGAGCAATATTTGGCATCAATGGAAATAAAAGGCTGTATGTAATGATGTTTTAAAAACCTTCTAAGATCCAAATTGAATGTTGATTAAGTACACATTTTCCGATTATAATGTTTCGAATATTTGTACTTGTCAAACCAATTAAGAGGAACATTTGCCAATTGAGCAATTCAGAGATCATTTATATCACAAAAAATATTACGGGAAAAATATTTGTAAATCATGGATCATTTTAGTGTTCATTACAATCAATTATAGTCGAAATAGTTTTTTGTGAAAAGAGCCATAGGCTCCCAGGAGCCTCTAGTTATTTGGTTTTTAAATTATTTTAAATACCTTAGTTGTGGTATGTTGGCTTCAGATGAGAGGTTGTTCTACAAAGTGGTAAAGAACAAATGATGATCAGATAATCAGCTAGGAATTATATATAAAGGTAGAGTGACATATGAAAAATAAGAAGTAAATATGCCTCAATAAGACAGCAATTCAACTTCAACAACACTAAAAGACTTAAGGATGTTCGCTCCTCTTTTTTGAATTTTTGCCAGATATTCAGAACCCTCTAGTTTTATCCATGTAGTGCCATTAAAATGTTTTGCCCACTAACCCCTACTTTTCTTTTCATAATATCATTACATATAGTTTTAAAAGCTATATTCGAAAATCTTATGAAATCCTTGTTATTTTTCATAGTTTTTGAAAGAAAAAAGTTGCCAATGTTAAATGTATGAAAAATCTAGAGAGAATTATTTCCCGCCAAATTTTCCATGGCTTATACACGTATCTCGAAAACAAGCACATGGACCCTTAATTTTTTTCTCCTTTTTTAGTTCCGTTATTTATATACAATCAATTTATAACAGTCTTTTAAAAATCTTGTTATTTTGGAACAGAGTAGCGAACATCCTTAAGACAACCACTTACAGATCGATCAACCTACAGTCCTTAAAAAAAGAAGACTATGTACCAAGCTCTTAAGTCACATCAAGAAAAATGGTGAATATATTGAATGAAGATTATCAAAGAACTGCCTCCTATCCTGTATTAAGAAAAAAAATATCAAGATATAACAACAACAAAAAAAAACAAACCACTGGGAACGTTTATGGATTTGGACAGGCAAATGAGATTTTAATCCTTCCTCTTAAAACATTGAAATAAACTGTCGTGAAATTTCACTTGCAGTTACTGAAAGCGAACTAAAAATACTTAACTTAATAATATGAAAGTATGTCCTAATATTTGTATATAAACGAGGGGGCTGATGGGTTATTTTCGTCCTTCGTGATCGAGGTATTTTGCTTGCCGTGATTCGTTTTTGCATTGATTTATTATCCGTGACTCGTGATAAGTGCATTTTTTCGTGACTCGTTTTCAATTAAATTTTATATACGTTCTCTGTGATGGAGGTGTTAAATCGTCGTTTTTCGTGAACAGTTATGTGGTATTAAAATAGAAACCACTCTAATTTATCTTAAGAGTTGTCGTTCTTAAACTCTATTTATAAAGGACTGGTACAATTTGAAGCAATGCACAGAAACCAGTCGCTAAAGTTAAGTAGCGCGAAGATGGTTCCTGGCAGTTTGATCAGGTTTCAGAGTACGAGTCTGACTATGTTGCAAATGAACATGGATATATGGGACCTATTTTTGACCCCCCGCTTGTTTCTATCTAATTTATGAAAGGGCTGTACGTTGAAGTGTGACTAAGCATTGGCGTAGCTTACGTTGCGGCAACCGAGACATAAGCCTCTTTAAAAATAATAATAAAAAAAATAAATACAACTTTTCTCTTTATTCTTTTAAACAATTTTCAAAAAAGCAATAGACACGCTACTTAACGTTAATACCCTTGCGAGTTCAAGACTTATGGAAGCATCTCCAACCCCTTATTGGAAATCACTACCCCTTTGCGGTAGTTTTTAGTAATCTGAATATATCGAAGTCAAAAAAATCGACACAATAAAAGCTAACAAATTTCTATATGTCTATATCCTACCCAAAGAAAAATTATTAATTGTGTGTGAGAAAAATTTCTAGTAGCCTATATGAGGGACTTGGTGAGGTTTACAAAATACACACTGTAAAATGATCAGAAATTAATTTAAACTTTAAAGAATAGAGTTTTAAGACGGTGCTAAAATATAAAAGAAAGGAAAAAAAAATTATGGATAATACAAATTAATAATGAATATTTGAAGAACCCATTCGTATCCTCATATATATATATATATAACCGGTAACGTCTAAAATTGAAATATCGTTGTGTGTTGACATTCACTACTTGGATATATAGGGGTTTGTTACTATTTGCCGGGTTTACTATCCGCCATGGAAACCCGTAAAAAATCGCTTGCTGAGACTCGGAATATTTTTCGAATCTATAAGTCAGCTGATATGGTTTCTTGTTGGATTCACAGCTGTATTATTGACCGGAGCACCTAAATGAAACCAAACTTTTCGGTAGGGACCGTATTATTCAATTTCTAGTTATATTTTTCATGTTTTTTTTCTTTTGTCTACTTTTAAACATTGCTAATAAAATTCAAAGTATTGTCTTTCCATCAGTTTTTGGTAGGCCTGCTTGTACCTTGAAGCTTTTGTTATATCTATATGAATTTCAACGGTTTTAAAAACACTGCACTGTGAAATGCTTGTATACTGAACACAAGTTATTACTGTGTATTTGCTTGTTCTCCGGGAGTTGTGTTGGTGTCCATTGCTTTATCGTGAAAAATAATCAAAGATTTTTCATATATGGATGTGGATAGTATATCGCACCTTGATAGTAAATACTAAAATAAAGTAATAGACTCAAATAATGAGACTTGAGCATAGTCAAATTGAAATCAATTGTTGAAAGAAAAACAATATCCAATTGGCAAATTTCAGTGTTAGTACACAAGTTCAAAGATGCCAAATGTACTCGGAGAACACTCCACTTTGGTAGATTAAAAGACAGACCACAAAAATGACGAATGGTGAATGTTTCCCGAAAATCTTAACACTTTCATAGGAATGTTCTTTCCCAACTGGCTGCTTCTAAGCCTTTTCATCAAAGACTCGTGTTATAGTTATAATTAACTCAAGTATGGTGATATCCAAACTGATTTTCAAATATAGCAAATGTACTAAAACTTTCCAGTAAATGAGTGAACAAATGCTTAATGATTATCAAATTAGTTGTGAACTGTGATCAGGAAAATTTATTTCCTGTGAACTGTGATCAGCAAATTTAACATCTCGTGAACCGTGATGAGAACCCCCCATTACCCCCCTCATAAACGTCAGTAGTTTGATTTATTGAAAGTTGATTGCTTTACTGTCTAGTCAGTACTTTAAAAAATATTTCATACAGCAAGGTCATAAACTGACTAGTCAATAAGGTTTTCGGCCTTTCTGTTTCTTGTTTTTGTATCGTAACAAGGATGTTAGGATGCCAATATGTTTTCGGTCTGTGCGTTCATCCGTCCCTTGTGTTAGTATATGTTATGTTTTAAGGTAGTATTCCATGAAGTAATGGTCACATTAACTTGAAACTTAAAACCCTTGGATATAATCAGCTTAGTAGTCAGTGCTTTTGTGCTGACATGATTTAGACCATACTTTGTTTTAACCGACCGTTGCAAATTATTAAGAGAGCTTCCAACTCCCTCTGGCAAAATTGACCCTAGATAGGTATGGCTGTTATCTAAAGTCCCTTTTGGTCATATAGCTCTTCTCATATTTTTGTTCTTGTACATCCTGGGCTTATAAATAGTTGGCTTACAGCGTTCTGTTAAATTCCAGAAAAGCACGTCGGAAGCGTACACAAAATAAAGTGTTCATTTCATGTAATTATTTTTTAGAACAATTATTCTACTTTTCATGAATGTTCAAATTTTATTTCGACATGTATCAAGTTTTTTTGGATTTTTTGTTTTTGCCTTTTGCCTTCAGTTGGTCCCGAAAAGTGTTGCGTAAGCACTTAATGTATTTAGTGTTATTTTCAATTTTAAAATATACTCACTGGGAGATAATTGAAACATAAATAAATTTGTAATAAATATACACATTACTGACATTTGATAACTTTCTTATAGTACAAATAAAAAACAGTAAAAAAGGTATAAACACAAAAGACCAAAGGACAAGACTGAATACAACTACAGGGAGGTAAATTGAAAATAAACTAGGAGACGACAATAGAATATTCATGAACAAAGTGTGACTATAAAATGCTCAGCATTGGTAGGTGACTGTTTTTTATGATATTTTTTATTTACAACTATTCGGTTTTTTGCAAATAACATTAATATTATCACACAACAACACTAAAAATGATTCAAACTTCATTCCAAAAAAGTAAAATAACAAAAATACTGAACTTTAAGGAAAATTCAAAACGGAAAGTCCCCTATTAAATGGCAAACTCAAAAGCTTAAACTCATCAAACGAATGGAAAACAACTGCATATTCCTGAATACAGGCATTTCCTAATGTCGAAAATGGTGGGTTTAACCTGGTTTTATAGTTTCAATACTTTCATCATGATATCAGAAAATCCTTGACATTAGATCACTATCATCAGTCAGGCAAAACATATCTCTCTCCCTTTCTC